CTGCTAACAAGCCCTTCGGCAGGATCCTAGCCTGGGAGACCAGTCAAGACTCCTGGAGTTCCCGCAGGGTAGCAAGGCCACATCCTGCTTCCAATTTTTCCATCTGCTAATTTCTAACGTGTGGGCAATTTTTCCAACAATGCAGAGCTCAGAGGTGAGCTCCCAGGCCTCCTTGAAGGAGATGGCTTCTATACCACAGATCATGAAGTTAAGCATTTGCAGGGGCATCAATCAAAATTCCATAACATCAAGAAAAAACTTCCCAAAAGGGACTTTCTCCAAGAAACTCCCTTCCTGTACAGGCTGGGTGGCCACATTTTAAGGGGCTTCAGTACTTTGGGGGGCCTTACTAACAGCAATCAGAGTCACACTTGCTTCCCATGTGGGCTCGAATCCACCTTCAATCATCACTGCTCTTTCCAATGCAGGCCAATACGTGCCTGTGATGGCCACTGGTCCACCCCCTGGACCCCCCCAACCCCCCACACACCCTCACACAGGTGGTGGTTCTGAAGTCACCCAGCAGTTAGATGCCTTTTCTCTCTTAGATGCCTTGTGCTTTGACAGCAGTGTGCCAAAGTTGCTACAAACTGGATGCATAGCTCATGGCTGAAAATATCTTTTTAATTATTTTTTTGACCATCATTTTAAAAAGCACAATTGCTGATTTAGCTGAGATGCTAAATAATGACCCTTATGAGACTTGGGCTGCTCTGTTCATGGCTGGGTTTTGCAGAGATCTCAAGATGGAACTTTTCCTGCCTTTTCTGACTTTCTGCCATGCTTATGGATGTGACTGGTGAAGAAGTTTGTAGCTCCGCCCAGAGCTTTGGGCTTCGGGACCGCACATGTCTGTTCATGTAAAATTATATAAGCAACTTCAGACTAAAAGCTCACACACACGTACTACACTCAATTAAATGCCAGGCGTGGGCCCAAGAGCATCTGCTTGGCAAATGCTCTTGCCCTGAATAGTCAATCACGTGTGGCACCCTCAGAATCACAAATTATAGACCATTTTACTTTTTATTGTAAGTCCAGGCATTTGGCTATAGCATAGTTATATTGGGGGCGGGGGTATGGGGAGTGGAACCACTATAAGAAATACTCAGTGGTTCAAATTTGAAAAAATATTTTCTTTCCCTCTTTGCAGATTCTGAATCAATTTATTTAGAGAATTTCTGAGATTGCAATTGGAACTGTTTTTAAAGAACTGCTACCATTTGCAATTGATCAAGGTCCTATATGGATCAAGATGTTCTTTTTTCTTTAGATTTATTTATTTATGCCACAAGAGCTGGGGTACAGGCCAGAGGTATATGTGGAGGTAAGAGGATTCACCAGAGAGAGTAGGGAGCAGATTGATGAAATACACTGTTGAGGGGAGCAGCATGTGGGTCAGGAGAGGTCTGCCTCTCCATCTGACTCAACTCCCTGGCAAGGGATTGAACTCATGCTGTAGTGACTGTGGATAGCTTCAGAGTGCTGTTCTTTAACTCATTACACCACCAGGGAGGGCCCCAAGAAGTTCTTAGACCTATTCAACTAAAACAAATACCGGAGAAACTAGACACCAAGGTTGATGTTCATGTTTTCATCCATACATCCTGATTTCAAACTTTGTTTTTATCAAAACATACTCACTGATCTCATGATGTGCAATTATTACAAATTCAAATCCTTAAAATAAATTAATCTTAAAAAACCTCACTATTGTATTGGTTGGGATTTTAGGATCTTGATGAAAAAAATTGTGAGGCATTGAGCAGATTTTAAAAAGTTTGAGAATAGTCACAGTGACATGGATGAAAGTCCCAGAGCACAGAGCCCTTTCCCTCACGCTGCCCTGAAGGAAGGTGGCCCCCCAGGAGTTCAGTTCTCTGAGTGCCCCAGTTTTCTGATCTACAAAATAGAGATGATATTACCACCTTGCATATTGATATCATGATCAAATGAAAAAATGCTGGTGAAAGTCACAGATGTTTTGAGCAGTTGGGACCAGAGAGGCTACCAGAGAGTACCAGACCCATTAAGTCAAAGTCTATGGGGATACAGCCAGAGGACCGTATTTTTTGAATTCTTCAGGTAATTTTACTGTGCAGCCATGACAAACAGCCCTGAGTCCAGGAAGACCATTATTTAAACAAACAAAAAAGAGACTTAGAGGTCAAGGAAGAGGCAGGTACAGCTTAGATCTCCCCACCACGTGGGGAGCCCTCACCCAGCACACACTACTGAGGCTTCAGCAGTGCTTCCAAAAAGCAAATGCCTACATCTATGCACATAACAAAAATATCTCTGAAATGCAGGCCCTCATGGCCAGTTGTTATAAGAAACTATATAGTAAAACTTAAATATCACATTTCTTGTTCTCCTGTTTTCTTTTTAAAAGGTTCTCCACTTACCTGAGAGACCCCATGAAATGGGAAACCATGGTGTTGTGGGTTCAGGAAAAGGCAAGGGCTCCTTGGAGATGAGGCCAACTTGCTGCAGATGGGAGTGGTATTCAGCTCCTACAGAAGGAACAGCAGCACTATTTTTAGCATCATTTACTAACGAAGATTCTAGAGTCTAAAATTCTACAGCCTACATGGGCCAATGAAGTGAGCAAATGGAAGACATTAAAACAAAAATGCCATTGCCCAGTTATGGTTACCAGATTTCCCAACTGAAACCTGATGATGTACGAACACGAGGTACCAAATTTACAGGACACTCAACACAGGGAGTGATCCACAGATGTTCAGTAGTTACTGTTGGCATAATGAGTTCAGATGCCATGCTAACAGCAGGGCTGGCATTCAGCAAACCTGAGCTGGCAATCCATCTCCATCTATTAAAGGCTACTTGACCACATGAACGTCATTTCATGTCTGTGAGTCTTATTTCCCCAACTATACAATAGGCTTAAAAAATACTGCCTAGCAATAAAAAGAAATGAGGTATTGATCCAGGCTACAATGGAGATGAACCTTGAAAACATTACAGTGAGTAGAAGTAGCCAGGCACTAACGGCCCCATATTCTGTGAGCCCATTTACAGAAACATCCAGAATAAGGAAATCTGCAGAGACAGAAAGTACATCGGTGATACCCAGAGTCAGGGGAAGGGGTGGGCCTCCCCAGAGAAGGAGGTTTTCTCCTGGGACAAAAAAAAGGTGTTAAAATTGGAGCATGGTGACGGTTACTCAACCCTGTGAGTCTACTAAAAACCATGGGATTGTGTACTTTTTGAGTTAGTAATGTATGGTATGTGAATTCTATCTCCATGAACAAGTTTGCAAACCCTGCTTAAGAACAGCTGCAGGTTGCTGTGAAGTTTCAATGAGTGAACATAGCAAATGGACAGAGTGCCTAGCCTGGTGCCTGGCACAGGGTGACTCACTATAAAAAGGAACTCTGACAATGATGAGGTAAGACAAGGTCAAGCAACACTTAAAATGTGTTATCACAGTCTAAGAAGTAAGATAAAACCCCACAAATACCACTTGATTCAGAAGCACTCACAGGACAGAATTTCTTCACATTGTTAAGTGAGCCAACCGGTTCAAAGGTAAGTTATAAATAGCATCAGGAAGTCCAGGGTCGTAGGTTTAGCTGGAATGTAATGAAACTTGGGAAGGAAAAGCATGACCCAGCCTCCTCTCCTCCCTCACCTCCTTTCAGGGAAAGACAATTAAATGATGCAAGGTGTACCCATGGGGTGTTCTCTCCAATAAAGCCAGCATTTCCCAACGTCATTGGTTGCTGAATTTGTCCCTGGACAGGACTTCAGATTTCCTTCTCATTAGAAAGGAGGGGCAGGGAGATAAATGACATGGAGTTAAAAAAGAGCAATCATGAGAATCAGAAACCTCCATATTCAATGGAAAGCAGTCAAGCTGTTCAAAGTTACCGTCAACCTTTTCTGCTGGTGATTAGGAAGGTAAAGCCTCTTAACTGTAATCACCCCTAATTAGCCATCCGCAACTCATGGAATTACTCATGGTATTGAAGACCCTTAAATTCTTGGGTCTCAGCCAGAAGTTATACTGAGATATACCAGGAAGAGGGCCAACAAGTGCAAATTGGAACCGTTAGCATGCCTCTCAATCTGAGGTGTGGTCTCCCTGCTCTTGGCTGGGGAGCAGGTATGAGTAAAGATGGGACTTAACTGGGAGTCAGATGAAATCTTTGCCAAACTCTTGATAATGATCAACTAGAATTATTTATGTAATACGTGGGGTGCTCAGGTCCTCTCTGAGGTGTCAAAAGATTCGAGTGAATGATGAGGCAAATCAAAATCTCACTCAGATGGATAGGATTTGGAGACATGGAATGTCTGGGGTAGGGATGGTGTTACCCAGAACAACAATAGGTAAACAGTGTTACTGAAGCATTCTAAGAGACTAACAAATCAAGTTAGTTCAAGAGAAGGGGTGTCATGGTAAAGGGCTGGTCTGGTATCAGCAGAAGAAGAGACTTAAAGCCAGCCCTTAGGCTATGAAGTTTACAAAGGAACCACCTAGAGTAGTTGATAAGAGTATTGACACTGCAATCTGACAGAACTGGGTCTGAGTGCAACCTCTCCATTTATTAACCAGGGGACCTTTAGCAATGAAGCCTCTTGTTTCAGTTACCTCGGTTTCTTGAAAATGAAGCTGTTGTATGTAACTTTGGTGTCTGTGAGTACTAAGTATTTGTTGAGACTGTGTGATGACTCAGGTGCTACACACACACACACACACACACACACACACAGCAAGGTCCCTGCCCTCAAGACACTTGTATAGTCTAGAAGCTGGAGAGTAATACCTCTAAACAAATTGAAACATAAATAAAATCTAAGAATAAAATCACAAACACCTTCTGAGATGCTAGGTCTCAGAAACGTATTCTGACCTGAGTTCAGAGAAGGTCCTGTGGAGGAAGTGACCTATATGCTGAGACTTGAGGGCTGAGCCAGAACAGCAGGTGAAAAAGAAGAGAATAAAAAATATAATGGTGAGTGAGGAACTGGGAGGAAGAAAGAAGCAAAGTGTCACGAGGAACAGGGAGAATGTGGAAAACTGACCTTCCACTGAGAGGTAACCATCCCCCCACATGGGAAGCGGATGCTGAAGGGGAAGAGGGAAAGTGATGTCAAAGATGACTTCTTCCAGATTTCTGGGGGATCAAGGAAAGAAAAGAGGTACCAGTAGAAGTGTTTGGCTTTGCCAGGAAAGCCAGAGCAATCTTGAGGAAAGAGGATGTGATAAAAACAGTGTTTTTAAATTCAACAAAAAGTCAACCAGAAAAATCTCTTCAATAACCAAAACAAATGAAAGCAGATATACAACCAGTGTTAATAACCATAAACCTCACCTGTGTATTTCAGAGGTTTGCTAACAATAGAATGAAACTGTCATAAGTATCATGTCGTTTAAAAATATGATTTCTTTCATACTTACCTTATCTTTTAAAATTTATATTTTAGGTCTATATTACCTTATCTTTTAAAATTTATATTTTAGGTCTATACTAAAAAAAAAACAAAAAACCAAACATATATTGGAGTCATACATGCAAACAATTTTTACTGATGGGGTATAAGATCAAAAACAATTATTTGAAGGACACTACTTCAGAATGGTTTTCACCAACTTCTTGTCAGATTGGATGAGCCATTTTGATTGTCTGATAGTGTTGATGGGCTTGTACCCATAATCAGCATTGTGCTAAATTAGCTCTGTTTTCAAACTGTGGGTCACTATCCATTCTTCTGTCATTAAAATCAATTCTGTGGTCATGACCTGCATTTTTTAAATGAAATAGAAAAGAATGAAAGAGAAGAGAAAATACCAGCATTCATCACACCCTGAAAGGTGAGCCTTCCTTACTGTGGTTCATAGTCAGAAAAATTTAAAAACCCTCCCTATGGAACACGAGAAGACAGTAAAGGATTCTGACTGACTGGGGGAAAAAGAGTCAAAGCCACTTTATCCATGTCCCTTGAAAAATGGCACCAGAAGAATTTTGAGAGCAGCAAAAAAGAGCCATGATATGTTCTACAGGTGGAAGGGACCCAATGAAAGTGAGGTTTCCACAAAATGTGTGTGGCCACAGTGCAGCAGCTAGCAGGTTGGATAAACACACTATCTATGGAACAGAATACGCTGTTTGAGGTTGCTCTTGTTGATTTATAACCTTTCTGACAGTGAACAAAAATTCCAACAGTCTAGTTTCTGTTAGAACATATGCTCCCTGTGGGATGGAGGCCCCATCTTCTCCTCTTTCCACAAGGATTCTACAGGAAGGCCGACCAAGTCACCTGACCCAGTGCAGGCCAAAGTCATAGTCCCATACAGAGGGAGGGAGTGGCCAGAGGGAGGAAGTGGTCAGAGACCTCAAGTCTCAGGATGGACAGAAAGAGGGACCACAACAGAGGTAGCTCACTGCAGAAAATGGCTCCCCCTTCAACTAGAGTCTCAAAACCAACTGCCATGGCCTGAAGCATGGGTGATGGTGGTGATGGCAGTGTTTAGAGGCTAAATGGATTCCAGACCCAGGGCCCCGGGTGTGCAGGTGGTAACTGGTGGGTGAGGCCCACTCTAAAAGCAGCAGCAGCAGCAGGGTAGTTTCCCACCCTGATGCTCAGTGGCCAGTCTGTGCACTGCTTTAAAAGTGAACCCTCTGGGGTCCAGTCAGTCACTCAGGATTGAAAATGGACCAATCAGACTTGAAGAGCCTGAAAGAGGATAAAAGGCAGAGCAAGAGCCAGCTTAGAGAATTCTGTTCCTGGTCTCTGAAGAAAGAAGAAAAATCAGCAACCAACTCCCAAAGAAAGAAGAAGCATCAAGAGACAACTGCTCAAGAAAAAAGAGAAGCCAAAGGCTGGACGTCTGCACCTGCGTCTGACAAACCTGAAAGGAGCCTCATACACCTGGGCTTGGTGTCTCAAAGATACACAGTTCTTTGTTGGTGTTGGCCAACAGCTCACAAAGAATTGGTAACACTGGTGTCTCTGACACTGCCTCCTGGTAACCTGTGGTAACTAGCACTGCTGGTCAGCACTGGCCAATAGTGTGGACTGGAGACTGACACTCTGTGTCCAGGTCACCTCTGAGAGCTGTCCACCACTTCTGCTCACTCCCAATGCTGCTGCCTCCATGGCTATCAGGCCCAGCACCCCCTGCAGTACAGCCTGGCCTTTAGACTTGCTGTGGCTGCTGTGGGGTCGTCTCTGTGACCCCCACCTTGTGAACACCTCCAGCTGCCACTGGGAGTTGGATCCTGGCCTGACTTGTGGTATGCTAAGTTCCAGGCCCTCGTTGACAAGACAGCACCAACTTGACAAGTATATTTTGTTTGGAACTTCTGAACACTGAGGAGACTACCTGGGGTGAGACAGCCTACCACTTGAGGCCTTAGAAAAACTTTATTTCTCCTGTTTGTTAAATAAACCCCATTTTTGTTGTTCCCTGAGCCTGAGCCTGAGCCTGAGTGGTCTAGCAATTGTACTGAGATAAGTGA